GGCCCAATGGGCGGAGTCTCCGTGCCTGTGATCGGACAGGCAGGGCCCAAAGGGCGGAGTCTCCGTGCCTGTGATCGGACAGGCAGGGCCCGATGGGTGGAGCCTCGGTGCCTGTGATCGGACAGGCAGGGCCCAAAGGGCGGAGTCTCCGTGCCTGTGATCGGACAGGCAGGGCCCGTAACCCCCAGCTTCATGGGTGCTGCTGCCCTTCACTGCTAAACTTACTCACGTACCTGTGTGCCAGAGAGAGCAAGACAGGGTAGACAAAAAAAAAAAATGTCCCCACAGGAATCAATAGTGTCACTATGTTTTTTTTTTTTAAATAAAAAAAACAAAGGAAGAATGGCGTCTCTAGGAAGGTGAAGGTCAGCAGTATTGCACCATCCTGGTGGCTAATGAGCGGAGGCTAGGCTACCAGCCACTGGTGTCATGTAGGGTGAGAACAGACAGCAGCCCCTCCCCCGGGCCGCTAGTGAAAGGCCGGCCCACTACCCCTTCAACTCATGGCCACACACGTCAAGCTTAACAGCATCTGACTCGAAACAACCCCGGACCCCCTCGCCAACATCAGGCGCCCGGCCGCCCTCCACCGACGACCGTTACACGTTCCCACGATGAGCCCTTCGTGCACGAGCATCCGGCAGTGAAATGTCACGTAAGAATGTGGGATCCGCCAGGCCAAGACGGATGAAACGGTGCTTCAATATGAGCTCAGCTGAGGGAAGCCCGTTCTTCCTTAACAGCACGCTGCACATTTATTATTACAGCTCTTCAAATACCTGTATGTAGGACTTTCTCTCAATTGACTTTACTCCAAAATTACTTTTCTTAGTTTACAGGTTAACTGACTAAATTTTACTCCTTTACATAACACAAAGTACACAGAGAGAATGTAGATCCATAGGTCACTGGTCACTGGATTCAGCTGGATTCCCAACACGTGTCAGAGGATGAGGAGGGGCTGCGTTCTCAGCTGCGTGTACACGTGCAGCAGCATGTCTGCCGCTCGCCGGGTCACCCCGGCACCCAGGGACACCAGATCGCGAGCCTCCCAGATCTCCCGTAAGAGCGCCTGCAGGAGAGGAGCACAGAGTTAGCCGGCCAGGAGTGCGGGGAGTCCCAGACAGGAGGGGTGGGGGGGGGGGTGCTCACTTCAGCACGCTCCAGGGCTCCTCGCAAGCTCCGCCCCTGCAACTGTGCCAGATCCCCAGTTGCCTTGGTG